TTCTTTCTTTCTTTCTTTCTTTCTTTCTTTCTTTCTTTCTTTCTTTCTTTCTTTCTTTCTTTCTTTCTTTCTTTCTTTCTGTCTTTCTTTCTTTCTTTCTTTCTTTCTTTCTTTCTTTTCATTTCCGATGGGTCTTGCACAGTTTGTTTTCTTTTCTTTTTTCCTTCCGCCGGAACAGATTAATCGCGTTTCCAATGGGACTTGCAGTGGTTTTTGTTTTTTGGTGATTTTTTTCTTCGTCTGGAACGGATTAATTGCATTTCAATGCATTCCTATGGGAAAAGGTGCTTCAGCTTATGACCCTTTTGAATTATGACCGGATGCATTTCAATGCATTCCTATGGGAAAAGGTACTTCAACTTATGACCCTTTTGAATTATGACCGGAGTTCCGAAACCAATTAGGTTTGTAAGTCGAGGCACCACTGTATCAGCTTAACAGAGGAGCCTAGCAAGTGACCAGTGATGGGGCACTAATAAAAGTGAATTATCAGTGGGCCTAGCTGGGACTTTGGAAACCCAATTTTGCAATATAACAACTAGTTATTTAAATCAAGAAATCTGTAGTATATGTTCAAACCTTTGTATTTCTAGTTTATACCATTTTTTAGGTATTTCAGCATAAACAAAAGGGCTCTAGGGGAACTAAGTTTGAGATATAACCCAGTATAGTTTTTAAATCCAGGAAATCAGTTATACCTGTTCAAAATTTCTTACTTATATTTCATACAATTTTGGAAATCTCTGGGGACAGTGTAGCCAACCAAAAAACATAAGGGTCTCTGAGGGACCCACTTTTGATATGTAAACTACACAGTCATGTAAGTTGGGCAATTAGTAATATCTGTACAAATTTTCTGCTTCTAGCTATTATTTAGCTATGCACGCATGAACACATCACTTTCAGAAATAAGATTACATTGCTGTGTCACCCTTCTTTGCAAGATCTAAGGGAACTACACGTATTACAACAGAGGCATACCCTTAGAAGAGGTTTTTCACTCCATTTCATTAAATCACGAGGAACTGCCACATCTAAGGGCTTGCTCTCTGTTGATTTGTTGTGATGAAAATATATGTTTTGTAAGTTTAAGTTCTGAGGACTTTCTCCTTGGGGGTACATTTAGTCGAATAAAATGTGTGAATAACTTAGGTTAACAAATTAATCAGCTAAAGCCTCCAACCCTAATAAATATATAATTGGTTCAGATTAAATCAACTTTGATTTATTATAAAAATGCTGGTATGCAGTGTATGTTTTCTTTGGCCATGATTCAGAATTGAGTGAAGCCTGCTTAATTTCATTTAAGTATGTCTTGTTCTATGTTAGATTATGACTTTGGTATTTAGAATGATGAGGGTGTTTTTAATCAAGGCATCTTGTTTTTCTTCCAGATATTATTCCCCTGGATATTCTGAAGCACTTCTAGAAAGAGTGGAAAATTATCAACCAGTTCTATAAACTCTTCAGCATGTGTGAAAGAAGAATTACTCTTTTTTTCTCTTTGTTACTGAGTAGCAAGCAAATCTAGTTTGGAAATTTTCTCTGGGAGATTTTTAAAGCTTCTGTTCTGTTACTGATCAGTTCTGACAGCAGAAAGACATGCCTTATCCACCTTTGCTTTGCCATTTGATTTCTGGAAATTTGTGCTAACAACAAAGACTATCACAGGTTAAGAAGTCAGCTGTGTTTTTTGGATGTACTTGGAGACCTAAGAACAGAGGAAACAGCACTCTTCACTATTTATGGATATATCTTCTTGCCTTTGGAGCAGTTTGTCAAATCAAGTCCTTAGGTCAAATGTGCAGTTCCTGCAGTTGAAAATATAATTTTGTGAGAAGATAGCATCACTCTCCACTAGGCACTACAGCTGTTCAACCTCTCTTCATTTTACCTGGGACTGCAGAAATATGACATTAGTAACTTATTTGATACAAGTTGGAATTGCCTCCAAGTGAGCAAAGAAGTGGCAAATTATTCCCCTGTGCCTTTACTTCTTGATTGATCTTTTCTATGGTATCCACCTCAGTACTTTCCTCCTCACATCTTGAAAAATGAATGTGTGACTGTAAACTGATGTGTGTTTGATCTTTTATCATCCAGACTTTTTAGGGTGAAGTTTCATGTGTTTGTAACATTTTTAAGGAGTGGATTTCTGGGATACTGTTATTGGAGTACCCAACTATTTATAAGAATTTCTAAGTAGTTAAAAGAAAGCTGAAAGTAAGAGTTTCTATAAATTGTCCTTGAAAGTTTGCCAATCATTTTGGTTCCCACAGTTTCCTAGAGGGAGAGTTTAACATAAAAATTGCTCCTTGACAACTTCCCAGTTGCTCAGCATGATAGCATTGGATACTGCAAAATAAAACTCTGCATCCAGTGTTGAAGAGTGTTGAAGTATTGTATGACATTTTATTACACCTTCCATTTATCTTGTATTGTTTTTTTCCCTTTGTCTGAAAGTCTGCCTAAACAACTATAACAGATAAAAGTTAAAGGAAGAGTGACTGTTATTCCCATCAGGCACTGCATTCAAATCTCTTGACAGACATGCTTTGATTCTCTTCACTTCGCTAAGCCTTGTATAGTTTGCTTCAGTTGGATCAAATTCATACTAATCCCCATACAGCAAGACCTTGTCTTACTTCTGAAAGATGGGTGGGCTGTGCCCAGACATGTAGGTGTGGATCATTTGTCAATAGTGCTTTTGGTGGTATTTGTCATGACCTCCTTCTTTAGCTTTAACAGTTAATGATGAAGTGATGGCCATGCTAATCTCTTGCAACAAAAACAAAACAGCTTGTGACACTTCAAACACTAGTGTGCCATATCTGGCATGAAATCACTCCAGCAGGTACAGAGTGCTGTCTCAGTTAACAGATTATTATACATGTGCTAGGGAACAAGAAATTCTGGTCAGTGTAGTCCTTCTGTGGCATTAAGCCATGAGACAATTCCCAAAGCTTTGGACGTTCAGACATAATCAAAAGGTTCAACTCTGCCTCCTTCAGGGTTTTTAAAAAATGTACAGTATATTGATTCTGTCTGTATATACATAAATATGCATATAGAGACATTTCAATTCCCTCTGAATCCGGTTGGTTAGCATCCCCTAATAAAAGCATGTTTTTGATTAACTGCTAACTGTAGTTGGCTGTGGCCCATGCAGGGTCCTGAAAAATGAAATTTATTAGCCCCAGTCCAATTGTTATTCTGAACTAGAGTAGACTCATTGAATGAACTGCTAAACTATTGAATGAACTCCCACACTATTCAACACTAGTGAATACCATGGATTCACTCTAGTGAGGGCAAGTAGTTGGATTTAGGCCTTAACCTTTTAAGACTTTTTCTTGTCCTGATACTGTGAGTTTCCTATAACAATAGGGAGTGGGGGTTATTCTGTTCCTCATATCATCATTTGGTTCTCTCTCTATTTCCTTCTGGTTTTTAGCAAATGTATTCTATACTATAAAAACTTGGAAAGTAAATCCCTGATAGCAGTGGGGGTTGGGTTGAAGGGAGAGGAGATAGAAGATCTCGTTCACTCCAAAAATATATTAGGCTTGCAAATATCGAAGCTGAAATTCTTTTTCCTTTCCAGCCTTCTGCATTTCGCTTCTCTGGTCGCCTGCCAAGATACATAATTCATGCATAATAATTTCATATATCATTCTGAACAACAGAGTTTAGAGAAATAGACCCGGCCAACACCACTCATCCATGATTCCATGCCTCAGCTAGCTCAGGTGCTCCAGTGTGTCTTATCCCTGAACAGGGCTAGCCATCATATTCAAGGGGACAAAGAAATGATTCCTGTCGACAACACTATCAGTTCTTGTTGAACTGAATCAGTAGTTGCATGCCTTGGCTGGGTGAGGCATATTCCAGCTACTTGAGCCTGAAGAGCTATAGTGCTGAGATTATTTTAGTCATTGCCAAGGGAGAGGCTCAATCAGATTTTATTAGAAGGTAACATGGTTTATTTGCTTTTTGAATATTCTGCATTTATGTTCCACACATATAGAACTTTTATATGCTACTTTTGAACAACATTTGAAATGTAGATGATTCATAAAATTAAAACATACTGTTATGCAGCTCTCTTCTATAGAAATGTGGCTGTTGTGTTAGCTTAGTTTATAGCTGTGAAGTAGCTATAGCTACAGCTTTCTGAATCCTGTCAGCATATGCCACACTAGAGATATTATGGGTTTTGGAAAGGTATGGGTAGAGTCACAATCAGCACATCAAAATGATGCTGTGGCATATAGGCAAGTAAGAGAAGGCTCCATGCTACTACCAAGCTGAAAAACAGCTGTTGATAGTGCTATTAAACAAGAGCAGGCACTAAGTAATGTGACAGATGTTTTAAGCTAAGGTGTAATTTGGCCATAGGCACTCAAGCTGCCTGTGGCCAAGTTGCACCTTAACTTAAAACATCTATCACATTACTTAGTGCCCACATACAATGCCTATTCTAGGCACAGTTTGGAGTCAATAGTAGATAGTAGAGTCAATGTTTACTGGAGCATCTATCACATTACTTAGTGCCCACATACAGTGCCTATTCTAGGCATAGTTTGGAGTCAATAGTAGATATAGCCAGAGTCAATGTTTACTGGAGTCAGGTGCAAATTATTCTCATTTTGTCCCTACCCTGAATATTGAGCTCTTGTATCAGATAGTGCACTCCAAGTGGAAGCTTGCTCCCGCATGCCTCTTACCAGCCAGAATGAAGGAGAATGTGACAGTACTGGTGTTGGAGGCAGTTGCAGACACTGCAGATCACATCCATGGACATGCATGTCCGTGAATGGAGAATTTGCTTACTCCAGTGTTAGGCCTTTGACTTTGTAAGGAATGCACTGTATGTATTTTTGGATAAATAAAGACATTTGCTTGGTGTTAGCAGCACTAAGTGTCAGCATATGCCACACTAGCACTGCCTTAAACATTGGGTAGCTTTAAAGGAGAAGAAGAAGATACTTTATTCTTCACGGAAGGCAAGAAAGTTTCTGTGGTTGTAACTGATTCTTGGAGTCTACAAGAACTCAGTGGTTTTGAATGAAGGAGGGTGAAAGTTCCCTTGCGTTATCAATGCAACCCACAATTTATCACAGGTCCATTTCCCCCCAAGACAAGAAGTGCCAGAAATCTTGGGGTGGTAGACTACAGATGATATCCAAGTCTGTTGAATGCATGCCTTGGCAGGTATCTGTTTGAAGTAGAAATCTTGGCATCTAGACTGGATTTGCTTGACCTTTTTGCACAGCATGAATCAAACTGGAAAGAAAAGGAATAAAATGTATTGAATTCTTTTGTGCACATATTTTCGTTTAACTGCTGGAAACAATGTCTTATGATAGAATTGGTGTTGCCACACTTTGAATTAATGCAGTAACTTTCCCTGATAGGAATTTTTGGGATTTTAAAAAAAAATCAGAGCCCTATCCAGCCAAAATTGTGTGCTTTCAGATTCTACTGATTTTAGCAAGAAATATCTAAGTATTTGTTTAATGCTACAATCCTATACAATAGATTACGAGCATGTTTGATGATATTTTTTATTCAGATTTGAAACACAGAAACACATGAAACAATAATGTAACAGGATAGTAACAACTATCAACCACATCATTGACCTGGTAAAATATACAGAGTAAAACAATGAAGTGATGTCCATAGAGAGGTATGATTTAATTTAATATATAATTGCAGAGCTTTTCATTAGTTATTGGAAGAGGAAGAACATGATTAATGAAATTTATATACTTGAGAAATGTGTTATAAAATTCATCCTGTCTGTGGGATTGCTACAAGGTGAACACATACATAGTGAGATTCTCCATCAGAATAATATACCTCACTTTTGAGAAACATTGTGTTAAAGTAATTTATCTGGAAGCAATTACCAGATGGGACACAAGACACAGAATTGTGAATAGTTACTCATGTGAGATCATGATTCACCTCCAGAAAACAGGATATTAGTTCCTAACTGGTGAGAACATTCTAGTATGGTTGGTACTTTCCACTAGTTCCTTAAAAATCTGTCAAAAATTCATGAACGTATGGGCAGTGTCACCATATATGGATGCGAGTCTTTAATTCCTATCAGTTCCTAGGGACTGGGTACTTGGCTCACTGTTATCACCACATAATGTATCATTTGTGTATTATATTTAGGGACAGCTCCCTTACTTCCCGTGTTTTTTACCTTAGAGCATTCCATAAAATATTGTTTCATGCAGTTCTATTGGCCAGGCAAATTTGATGCACATTTTGCCCCCAGAATAGAACAACAAGAATAGATAGGTTGAATCGAATGGCCTTATTTTCTTTTTTAGCGTTAACTGGGCATGTAGTTTGGATACAAACTGAGGGTATAGCCATAAAATGGATCATCTGCAGTAGATGAAACCATTGATCTTCCATTCATCTGATTAAATTTCTTCATTATCAGGATAGGCAGCAAAGGAAAGGAAAAGAAAGGGAACTTCTTTCAATACTGCATCCAAATTTTAAATGGGTTCATTGGGGACAGGGGGGAGAGATGTGATACATCTTTAAATTTAGTGAAGAAAAAGATACTCCTCTGATTGTATCTATATGATTAATAGTTTTTTTTCCCCTTGGGAGCTAGATGTCTATTTCGTCGTTTAGCATTATTTTGACCAATTGATGTAAACTGAAATAATGCACAACAGAGCTTTAGATAGGTGACTGTAGTCCTTCTTTAGTACTCCTTTCATGGTATTCCTATAACTGATAGCTGTGAGATATTGTATGCATCTTTTTCAAATTGATTTAACTCACAAACTAGCTAGAAATTAGAAAGCTAGGGATGCTAGTAGGTAATATTTGACTCAAATATCAAAATGTAGGTAATAGTTGTCCACTTATATTGGTGTTACTTAACACCCAAACAAGTACCCATGCATAAGACATCCCTTTATAATCAGCAGGACTTAACTTTTCTGGGCTGAATAATATACCAGAAACTATCCTACAAATGCCACTTTGAACTTGTTATTAAGATTCATTTCAAAACGGTGTGCCTGGGAGAGTTTTTACACAATGCCCTATAAGAAAAACCATTCAGAATGGAGACCATATGGTGACATTCATTCATTCATTTACAGAAGTATTTCTGCCCTGCCTTTCCTCCCAACAGTGAGCCAATTACAGTACAATATTATAATGCACCCACAGAAACAGAATAAACCCTACTGTTAAAGCTGGTTTCAGAGATCTATAATCAACTACCTCTCTGGGAAGTTATCTCTAAAGAAGGGAAAGAGAGTGCAACAGGATTTTCTGGTTGGCTGGGGGGCAATCAGCAATGCACTTAATAATCATAGTGGCAAAACAAGAACCTATCTTCCCTCATCCTCAGTAATATGAACGTGGAACAGAAACAGCTTGCCAGCAGAATTAGGGGACACTACTAATGCAAGGGAGGGACAATTGTAGGCAGGGAAAAGAGGCCAAAGAGAAACAAAGGGCCAACATTTATTTATTATTAGATTTCTACCCCACCCCCCAGACAGAGTCTACTTGGGGCAGCTTACAAATATAAAATATAATAAAAACATCATAAACATTAAACAATTAAATCAATAATGTGGTGTGTTCAAGATGGGGAATGATAAAAAAGGAAAAAGATAGGAAAAAGAAAGGAAAATAGATCTTTCTTGCATCATTTCTGGAGACAGTTAAAGAGTTTAATACTGTAAGCCTAGATTTATACAGCTGGAATAGTGAACAGAGAGGCCTAAATCTAATTGTTAGTGCCAATAAGAGTAGGCTCACTAAATACTGGGAGTTCCATAAATCAACATATATGTAGTGCCAACAAGAGTAGGCTCACTAAATACTGGGAGTTTCATAAATCAACATATATGCAAACCCCATTGATTCAATGGATCTACTATAATCAGGACTAATAACTATTCCACAGTCTTTAAGCAAATCATTTTCTATATTTAATGTTACTTCTTATGGCAGTATAAGAGAGCATCAAATTATTAGTTGATTGTGTTGATGAAGCAAGCTCTAAGGCAGAGGTGGCACATCTTTGGTGCTCCAAAAGTTTTGAACTACAACATCCACTATCATTAGTAATATAGGCTGGGGATTCCAGGAGCTGAAATCCAAAACATCAGGCATGCCAAAGATTTGCCACCCCTGCTCTAAGGTGATCAGAATGAGTTTGATATACATGTGATGGAAACTACAACTTACAAAAGAAATAAGGCAAAGAGGCTTTTCCGCCAATGTTCTTTTGGCAATGGGGCATGTCAGCGCTAAAGTGGCACTCAAACAAAGAACAGCCCTTATCAGATTTTATTATTAGTTGATTGTGTTGATGAAGCAAGCTCTAAGGCAGAGGTGGCACATCTTTGGTGCTCCAAAAGTTCTGAACTACAACATCCACTATCATTAGTAATATAGGCTGGGGATTCCAGGAGCTGAAATCCAAAACATCAGGCATGCCAAAGATTTGCCACCCCTGCTCTAAGGTGATCAGAATGAGTTTGATATACATGTGATGGAAACTACAACTTACAAAAGAAATAAGGCAAAAGGGCTTTTCCACCAATGTTCTTTTGGCAATGGGGCATGTCAGCGCTAAAGCGGCACTCGAACAAAGAACAGCCCTTATCAGATTTGGTAGAAATTGCATTCATTCTTCTGCTGAAAGGGAATATGAAGAATGAATGCTAAGAGGTTTAATATGGATTCCTGCATTGATCAGGGGGTTGGACTCAATTGTCTTATAGGATTGCATTCATTCTTCTGCTGAAAGGGAATATGAAGAATGAATGCTAAGAGGTTTAATATGGATTCCTGCATTGATCATGGGGTTGGACTCAATTGTCTTATAGGCCCCCTTCAACTCAATTATTCTGTGATTCTATGAAAAAAACTACTGTATATATTCTTGGATTGTCGCACAGATCACATCACAGTAACATCCATGTCATTTAGTTCATACAACCCCAAATAATACACCCCATTTTCCAAATGACGCCCTATCCCATGATACAACCCTTGTGTGAATCCTCCCACAACTAATCACACTGCACTATATTTATTTTGTATGCATCCGTTAAATAATCTTGGAATGCAGTTTTGCCCTAGGACATTTGTCCTAACTTATTTGCCCATCATTTTCCTTAGCATTTTTGTAAATGGAAATGTAACTCTGGGTTATAAGGCACTCCTGCTTTTGCTACACGAGACTAACACGGCTACTTGTTTGAGGAAGGATAAATGAACTGTACATTTTAATGATATGTGATAAAGAAGGGAAAAATCTTGCCTTTGATCTACCTTT